AAGGAAAACCAGATCACACAGTGAACAAGTATGGTGGGTAGGGGGCCAAGGACAGAACCATGGGAATACCATCTCTTCAGCGCAGGAGTGGACAAAAGATGGTTCAAAACTTGATCAGGGATTGGGGTGCCTGGGTGGCTCAGTTGGTTGAGCATCTAACTCCTGATTTCCGCTCAGGTCACAATCCCAGGGTTGTGGGATCAAGCCCTGTGTTGGGCTCCATGCCAAGTGTGGAGCCTGCTTAAGATTCTCTCTCCATCTGCCCCTCTCCCCTGCTCATTCTCTCTCTAAAATTAAAAACAAAATTTTTGTTAGCGATCAGAGGTTGGTAAAAAATAATCATCATAATAAGCCTTAGTGGACTGGTTTCCCAGAAGCCAAGGAGCAGTGGGAAGGGAAGGGAAGGGAAGGGAAGGGGAGGGAAAGGAAGGGAAGGGAAGGGAAGGGAAAGGAGAAAGAAAGAAAGAAAAGAAAGAAAGAAAGAAAGGAAGAAAGAAAGAAAGAAAGAAAGAAAGAAAGAAAGAAGGAAGGAAGGAAGGAAGGAAGGAAGGAAGGAAGGAAGGAAGGAAGGAAGGAAGGTAGGTAGGTGGTGTGTAAGGGGAACACAGAAGGGAAGTCCTGGGAAGGGATCTTTGGATTAACATATTAGCTCCTTTTTGTCTGTTATAACAGATTCCAGAGCATCATGGCTTTTCTCCAACTGATCCTCCCAACACTGCCTGACTCCCCTCCCCCCCTCCATGCAAGGCAAGCCAATCTTCCAAGAGTATTTCTATCCCAAGGGGAATTGTGACAAAATCATGTTTTTTGCCTCAGCACGTGCATTGTTCTCCCAACCAGAAAGACCCTTCCCCTCCTCTTCACATCCCCTTGACCATACCGCTTTGAAATGTAACTCAAAACTTATCTCGATCTCAAGGCTTTGAAAAATCATTAGTCCCATCTCATTCTGAATGTATGGGTCTCTTCGTAGTTTTTAAGATTAAGTATTTCTTGGTACTCAAGTCTTTCCAAATATATGTTTTATACTATACATTAATATCAATGCTGACTCAACTATGAGAAAATGAGCTTCTAAAAAGAAACAGAGCAAACTTTCTATCTGTTGGTATCCTCCTCCCTATATGCTTTTCACAGTGGTTGCTGAGCAAATGTTTTGGACTCAGACTGGCCGCTGAATATTTACTCAAAGTGAGTTATTTATTAGCAAGTGTGAGTAATGGGGAAGAAAAATTTTTGAAGATGAACATGGGCTGATGCTTATCCTCATATTTTTATCTAGACTGAGTTCTAAGACAAGGGTGGAGTCCTGCAGGAATTTCTCTGTCTTTGATGATGGATTCATTATAAATGGAAAGTGTCTGCAGGGAAACATCCAGGATCTCCTGTTCTGGGAAGTTATCCTAATTGTGATGACATAAAAGTGATTATGGCATCAGCTTATGAATAACCTCTGAATAACATCACTGAATTGAGTTTCTTTGGTCGTAACTGAGAGAAAATAAGTTACCACCTTAAGCAGATCTAAACAAGTATAACTACAGTGTATATCCCAGTTTCTTTACTTTCCGGTAGTTCCCTGGGGGCATTACATACCATCTTCCTCCACTCTAAACAAAGCATATGATCTTTAGATTATTGTGAAATAAATTGTTGTAATATAATGTACTAGAAATCCTTAAAAGAAAATAAGATTTTGAGTGAAACTTCCAAATATTTTAGACCCAGGATTTTAAGAAATAAAATTTCCAGCGGCACCTGGGTGGCTCAGTTGGTTAAGCAGACGACTTCAGCTCAGGTCATGATCTCGCGGTCATGGGTTCGAGCCCCACGTCGGGCTCTCTGTTGACAGCCAGCTCAGAGCCTGGAGCCTGTTTCAGATTCTGTATCTCCCTCTTTCTCTGACCTTCCCCTGCTCACTCTGTCTGTCTCTCTCTCTCTCAGAAATAAATAAAACATTAAAAAAATTTTTAAAAAAAGAAATAAAATTTCCAGAAAATAAGGGAATAAAGTAAAGTCCATACTGGTATACCAGCTCACAGCTCTCAAGATGCCTTCTTTTAAATATTTTATATACAAAAATAACATACTCATGTTCAATCCAACAAGTCCCAAGTGAAACTTATCATCTTTTCTTACAAGCCTGTATTTCTAAGCCCTGAGAATAGCACGACCATTCACTAAGCACCCTACTCTATCTAAAGATACAATATAGACTACCTAATATGGGAAAAGATAGAGCAGACCATGTGGCCCAAAATTATATGGCAATATCAAGCAAAAGTATTACAATAAGTGTAAATGGTAACTTTTTCATTTTGAAAAAAGACTAAATTAAGCTATACTATACCTATAAAAACATCACCCAAAACCACGGACTCAGAAATGAAACCAAAGGAAGCATGTAAATAAACACAAAAATAAGCAAAAAGAAAGTGTTTATTTAGCAGGTATTATGTATCAAGTACAAAATTAAATAGCTTGCTGAAGGTAAGAAAAGTAAGTAAAGCTGAAGTATTCATATCACACAAAGTTTAGTTAAGACAAAAAGCTATTATAGGGACCAAAAAGCTTTTTTTAATTAAAAAAATTGATAATACTTAGGGATACTCCACATTGAAGATACAACTATCATAAACTTTTATGCACTAAATAACATAGCACCAAAATACATAAAACAAAAACTACTGGAAATACAAGGAGAAATCAAAAGAAACACTATCGTTATAGATTTTAATACTTCTAGGAGACTTTAATATTCTTTATCAGTCTTCAGCAGATGAAATAGAAGAGTAATAATATGGTAACTTTTTTTAAATGTTCTATGGATACTTTAATTGAAATATGCTCTATGTTCTTATCTTATTAAATCTCCATTGTTAATCATATAATTCAGATCTTCTGTATCAGTGATCTGCAAACATGTTTTGTAAAGATCCAAATAATAAGTAGTTTAGGGTTTGCAGGGCTGAAAGCAGCCATAGATAATGTGTAAAAAAAAATGAGCATGGCTGTGTTCCAATAAAACTTTATTTACAAAAAGAGGCAGTGAGCTGTGTTTGGCCATAGAACTAGTTTACCAATCCCTGCTCTATATGGTTGCTTCTATTTAAATAATTATGAAATATTTACAAAAACAGCATGTTTTAAGCCACACAAAAAAATCTGAAATTCTAAAATAAGAAGTATACAGGTTATATATTCTGGTCACAAAACAATAAACACAGAAGTAAAAGTAGAAACACACCAAACTGCTCTGAAAATCTGAGACCCCTCGAGGGAAAATCCTATTCAATTCATTGTTTTTTAAGGTCCTAATATACCAGCACATCATTTCCTGCCCATTTCCTCAGCTCAGTCTGGGTTTTAAACAGAAGCAGACCTGAAGACAAACTTCCAAAATGGGAAGAATGAAATCACAGTCAAAAGGGGCGCCTGGGTGGCTTAGTCGGTTAAGCGTCCGACTTTCGCTTAGGTCATGATCTCGCGGTTCGTGGGTTCGAGCCCCGCGTCGGGCTCTGTGCTGACTGCCAGCTCAGAGCCTGGAGCCTGTTTCAGTCTGTGACTCCCTCTCTCTCTGACCCTCCCCTGCTCACGCTGTCTCTCTCTCTCTCTCCTAGAAATAAATAATTTAAAAAAAAAAAAGAAATCACAGTCAAAATTCATCTTCAATGTTCACTAAGTAGTGGAATACTAAGAAGCAGACGCCGAAGAGGATTCCCAAAGGGACACATGCAGACACAGAGGGGCTAGAATCTCAGCCCTGGGAAGGAGCTGGGGGCCTTCCCCAGACCCCTTAGGAGGAACTCAAGGCCCAGGCCCTGGCCTTCTCACAGCAGCAGGGTCCCCGCAGAGCCAGGATGAGAAGAAACCAGTCTTCTGACTCAAGACTGAGTCCTGCACTTCCCAGGAATGTCGTGCTCATTCCTATCTGCCCTCTTCGCACACATCTCACCATATCCTCAGAGGAGCCTTTCTATTTCCCAGGTAACGCCCCTGCTGACTCTTCCTTTCTCAGTCATTCCTTCCCTCTCCTAGGGATAGCCAGCACACAGACCTGGAAGGGGGAGATCTGACCCCCATCTTCACTCTCCGCATGGGTCCCAGCCCAATGTATCTGAGGTGGTTCAAGTACTGCCCTTCAGAAATGGGCCCACATTGGTGGCTGATTCAACTGAACCCTTCAACAGGTATGGCCTTTACAAATGCTCAAGGAGAAAAATCAGCCTGCAAAGAAGCCAGGAACAGAAAATCCTTCCAATTCTTTGGTCCCGAGCAGGCCTTCTCTATTACTAGCCCTTCGTTCCCCCCGTGGATGTTTAAGGGAGTATCCTGGACAGCTTTACGGCCATACCTGGGTTCTATCTAGTTGGATATTGGATATTCAACTTCTATCACCCCAAGATCCCTGAGCAACTCAAAGGACAGCCAGGGAAGGAGAGCTGTGGGGATGACAGCCTGACACTCTCATCAAGAGAAGGGGTGGCTTCTCCGATCTACTTCCCAAAATTCGGAAGGGCACGCTTGTTGCGTAAGGACAACACAAATCAAAACTTTTCAGCACCTGAGTGAAGCAGCTGTCACCATCTCCCTCCCCCCACATCCCCCCACCCCCAATCCCCACCCCTATCCACCCCCAATCCCTTCCCCCAAAATCGGCCTCCTTTTCTCTTCCCAAGTGTGATCCCCAAACTGCTCACGTGCCCAGCCAGGATTCCACCTGCTAAGAGTTTGTAAACGTGTCTGAGCACAAATATTATCCTGACTCTATTTTTGCTCTCCACCTCTTTCCTAGCCTGAGCTCAAGCGCGGGGGGGGACTTCTGGGTTCAGTTAACTAAACTAGAGAAATTCCTTTCTCGGGATGTTTTTCTCGCAGCCAGCTGTAGTCCATTACCAGGAGTTCTCTCTTCTTGTATCCCACCCCTCCCGACGCCGCACTGCCCCGAGGATTTGAATCCGGAGGCAGAGCGCGCCCCGGGCTGCGCGCGCTTCACTCACCGTTCCGCGGCTGCGGCGCGCGAACCTGGGCTGTTGGCTTCGCGCGTCGGAGGCGGCCCCGGAGTCCCGAGCAGCCGGGAAGCCCGCAGGCGGCGATCCCGCCCTCGCAGCGCGGGGCTGTTATAAAGGCAACGGTCGCCGGAGGGAGGGGACAAGCGAGGGGGTGAGCAGAGGGACTCGGGGCGGGAGAGGGTCAGGGGAGAGGACACGCCTATTCCAGTTCCGCGGCGCTGCATGCTGTTATGAAAATAAAGTCCCCGTGCCAGGGAATGAACCAAACGCCGCCTGACGTCAGCGGCACAGTCACCCTTGAAGGGGGGGGGGGGCGGGGAGATGGACAGAAGGAACCACCCGGACCCCGCCTAACGCATCCAAACTGCTGCGGGACGCGCGCACAGGCGGGTCCCAAGGCCAGGGGGGAAAGTGGCCAGAGGGGACCGCTCGGTAACGTCCCGCAAGCCGTGACGTCCGGGACGGGGGTGGGGGACAGCCACACCCGCCCTCCCCGCGGGGCGCTCCCCTCGGCCGAGGACCCGGGGCGGGTCGTGGCGCCTGTGTTAGATCCTGGGTCCCACGGCCGCCGCGTGCGCGCGCGCGCTCGTAAATAGGAAGGAGAGCTACCTGCAGGTGGCCCTTCCTCTCCTGCTGCGGGAGAAGTCCGATTTCCTCACCTTTCTCCGTGGCTCAGCCTGTCACTCTCCCCCAGCAGTGCAGGATGGGAAGCCAGGCGAGGGCAAGAGGTGACGGGTCGAAACCAGGGAAGCTTCCTTGGGGACCCAGAGCCAGCTCCGCAAACTCCCGTCTGTCGAACTGTCCCTCAAAGAGCACCATTCCCGCCGTCCCGGGGTGGAGACCTCACTATCTCCGTACTTCCCTAACGACCTCTCTAAAAGCCTTGACAATGCAGGTTGATGAGAATGGGGATGCCAGATAAAATTATGAAATAAAGGAATTTGCCTTTGGTGCCTGGTTCCCCCTCCCTCGCTGCCCACTCCTCTGCCGTTATCAAGCCAATCCTACTGAAACTTGCCTTTGTTTACTTGTCAAACAATCCTTGAGTGGCTGCCCCTCGGTGTCAAGGCTCTGGCAAGGCTCTACCCCAACAGCCTTGGGGGAGGGGGGAGCTCTGCGCTCTTAAGGTGCCCATTGGCACACCTGGTAAACTCACCTGTGTTACTATGCATGTGAATTAACAGAGGAGGGCCTAGGGCTCCCCAGCTTTGTCCTCACACCCCAAGTTTCCAGAGTCTAATGGGCTTTTTAAATGTGACTTTATTCGATTTAATTTCACTCCTAAGAATCCATAGCCAATGTCTTGAGTCCTGGAACATTCCCTTGAGGCCTGCAGCCCAGAGACCTGCAGGGCTGCCCACTCCTCTCCCCCACACTCACGGGGGGGGGGGGGGGGACCAAAAACCATGACCGAGTGTTTTAGTGTGTACCATCTGCTAAGTGAGGCCTTCTCTCTGGACCTCAGTTTTCTTGTGTTTAAGGAGGAAGTTGGACTAGACCAGCCGTATCCAACAGCTCTACCATTCAAGTGACAAATGCAAACCACATACATAAAGTTAAATTTTCTAGGGGCGCCTGGGTGGCTCAGTCGGTTAAGCATCCGACCTCAGCTCAGGTCATGATCTCACAGTTCGTGGGTTCCCAGCCCCGTGTTGGGCTCCGTGCTGACAGCCAGCTCAGAGCCTGGAGCCAGTTTCAGATTCTGTATCTCCCTCTCTCTGACCCTCCCCTGCTCACTCTGTCTCTCTCTCTCTCAGAAATAAAACATTGAAAACAATTTTCTAGCAGCCAAGGTGTGGTGAGCCCCTAGTCCAGGGAAATGGGGCTCAGCCGGAAAGGGGGCTGCCCCGTCCTATATTCGTGAAGAATCTAGTGCTAATCCATTCCTGGGTGACCTTCTTCTGGGTCAAGGTTTCAGATGCAGAGAAGCTTCATTGATGCGCTCTATTGGAAGTCAGCCCTCCACACAAGGGTTTGTAAAAATAATAATAATAATAATAATAATAATAATAATAAAATTTCTAGCAGTCCTATTAAAATAAGTAAAGAGGGGGAACACCTGGGTGGCTCAGTCGGTTCAGTAACTAACTTTTAATTTCAGCTCTGGTCCTGATCTCACAGTAGGTAGTGAGATTAAGCCCCTGTGGACTGTGGAGCCTGCTGAAGATTCTCTCTTTCCCTCTGCCCCTCTCCCCCACCCCTACCATTTGTGCTCACTCTCTCTCTCTCTCTCTAAAATGAAAAGTTAAAAGGGGGGATTGATCTTAATTTATTTAACCCAATAGATCCCAAACATTATCATTTCAGTATAATCAAGCTGTTAAAAAACATTAGTAAGCTATCTCACATTCTTTTGTTTCAAACTATGTCTTCAAAACTCCAGTGTATATATTACACTCAGGACTGTGAGTTTGGAGTAGCCACATTGCAAGTACTCAGAAGACCTGTGTGGCTAGCGGCAGCTCAGGCATTTAGGACCCTGAATCACCACGCCTACAGGTGAGGTTCATGATGTCCAGAAAAAGCCGTCAAGTCCAAGGAGGGAGTAAAATCAGAGAGAACAAGACTTCGGGGTATTTCTTCACCTTTTCTTGGCTTCCCTAAGACAAGAAACTCAGGGAAACCTAATGAGACCTGGGGCTGAGGGTGTTTTGTTTTTCCTGTTGCTTTCTTGTTCTCTCAGTGACATCTGGCCGGCTGCGTGTGAGAGCTTTGTGGGGAAAAGCTGCCCTTGATCCCCTGCACCCACTATTCTTCACTTTTTTTAAGTTTTCATTTAAATTCCAGCTAGTTAAGGCACAATATAACATTAGTTTCAGGTGTGCAATTCAGCGATTCAACACCTACACCCAACACCCAGTGCTCATCATGACAAGTGCCCTCCTTAATTCCCATCACCCACAGCCCATCCCCCACCCACCTCCTGTGGGTGGGACCATCTGTCTATTCTTCATAGTTACCAGTCAGTTTCTTGGTTTTCCCCTCCCCAGCCCCCACCCCCATGATCCTTTGTTTTGCTTCTTAAATTCCACACTATGGAGGTTCCTCAAAAAGTTAAAAACAGAACTGCCCTTTGATCCAGCAATTGCACTGCTAAGGTTCTACCCAAGTACACCCACAATTATCCACTTTGCTGCTGACTCCAGGTTTCCCTCCTTGTCCAGTGAGCACTCCGGCTTCTATACCCCCAACCCTGCGTGTTTTTACTTTTTCTCCTCCCATTCCATTATCAATTCAGCAGCCCAGGGCCCACCCAGATCACGCCCCCCAACACAAAATTTAAGGAGGCACTTAGCCCAGAGAGTGAGTACCTCCTTAAGTTGTGAGCCCCAGACTGTAAGCCTTGCTTGCCGTCCTCTAGACTCAGCCCTGCCCCAGAATCCCCTGGGGTCTGGTTGGGGGCAGGGGTCGCAGTGGGCAGGAAGGTAGAAGAGCTGAGTAATTTTGAGATGCCCCTGATGGGGACAGGCTGGGGGCCAGTAGATGAAATAATTCATTTGCTAGGTCTCTTGTCCTACTAATTCGGTCTTAAGAACAAGATTGAAGGCCCTTGGAAATCAATAGAAGAAATGGTATAAAGGGTGTCTGGAGACTGAGGTATGACTCCAACTCTAGTTAGCCTCCTTTGTTACCTGGCTTCAAGTGACAGGTAGCATTGTTAAGGGACACAGAAGGGAAGCTCACATGACTGGAAACGAGATGAGAAGAGCGAGCCTCACAATAAGGGTGCCTTGTTCCCCCAAAAGAGAGGCTGGTCTGATGCTGGGGAGGAACTTCATTCAGCTGCAAGGCCGGCAAGGGGTCATCTTCCGGGGGATGGGCCCAGGTCGGCCTCCGTCTGGGAGTCCCCAGCGCCCAGTCCCTTGCCGACCCCACCACCCACCATCGCCATGATCCCCACTCCTGATTGCAGGGGTGAACCAGGAGCCAGCATCCTGCCTGCTCAGGCCCACAGCTCCCCTTTCTTTCCCTTTACTTCTTCGTTCGCAAGATGGATGGTGCCACCCGCCACCCTCCGTGGCCTCGATTAAATCTCATTTAATTTAACTGAAGCACCTCAGTCAGTAGGAGAAATGGCCCGGGGGATTTTACACTGATGGAATTGCTGGTGTCGGTGACCCACAGCTCCGCTAAACCCGTGAATAGTGGCTTTTCCAGTCAATCGCTAAAGCCATACAGGAGATGTTTGAGAGCCAACTATGCGCCAAGCGTTGTAGGGAGTATAAGACAAGAATGAGAAAGAGGCTCCTTGGTCTCTATCCCCTGAAGGGAATTTCGATGTTTCTCCAGTCATTTAGCAACTGTGGGTGATCTTGTGTATAACTGGCGGGGGGGACTCAGATAACTGCATTTAAGTAGCTCAGTTTGGCGGGGAGGTAGCCAGTTAGGCAACAAAAGCAATGCATCGTGTTAGGGGTTGTGTGGGAGAAGCGCCCAAGGACCACCCCTGGGCACAGAGGCCATAGTCAGCACCCCCACGGCATTCAGGGTAGCCCTCAGCCAGGGGAGAGGCCTCAAGGGTAAGAGCTTTTCACATGGAGAGGGAAGAGGGCTGAGGAATGGGGAGGGCATTCCAGGGCGGACGGAACAGAATTTGCCAAGGCCCAGAGGTGAGTGACAGCCATGTCCGTTAATAGACTGGGGAGCACAAAGCTGGGCAGTGGGAGACGAAGCTGGACAAGCAGACAGTGGCCAGATTGAGCGTGGAGTCCCAGGCTCATCCTTTTTTTAAAAGTTTATTTCTTTTGAGAGACAGAGAGCGTGGGACAGGGGCAGTGAGAGAGGGAGACAGAATCCCACGAAGGCTCCGCACTGTCAGCACGGAGCCTGCCGTGGGGCTCAAACTCCCTAACTGCATGATCACGACCTGAGCCGAAGTCAGGCGCTTAACGGACTGAGCCACCCAGGCGCCCCATCCCAGATTCATCGTGGAAGCAGAGGACACTGAAACATGAAGGAGGGGACCGGCGTGAGATGTGTGAGATGGACAAGCCACCCCAGTGGCCCTAAATCCAATGACTTAAGTCTTTGTAAGACGAGCACACGGAGATACAGGGGCACAGAGGAGACTGAGGAGAAGGCTGTGGGGGCCCCGGGCCCGGCCGCAGGCCAGGGAGCGCCAGCGGTTCCTTTCCTGCCAGCACCTGGATTGCAGACCTTTAGCCTCCAGAACGTGAAACAATACAAATACACTTCTGTTTTTTTTTAAATTTTCTTT